GGACATCTTTGGGGACAAGGGACACCCCACTGTGGGGTTGGGACGTCTTTGGGGACAAGGGACACCCCACTGTGGGTCTGGGACATCTTTGGGGTCCAGGGAGGTCCCCCTGTGGGTCTGGGACATTTTTGGGATTTGGGGAGTCCCACTGTGGATTTAGGACATCTTTGGGGTGCAGGGAAATCCCACTGTGGGTCTGGGACGTCTTTGGGGTCCAGGGACACCCCACTGTGGGTCTGGGACATCTTTGGGATTTGGAGAGTCCCACTGTGGATCTGGGACATCTTTAGGGTCCAGAGAGGTCCCACTGTGGGTCTGGGACATCTTTGGGGTTTGGGGAAGTCCCACTCTGGGATAAGGGAAATCTTTGGGGACAAGGGACACCCCACTGTGTGTTTGGGACATCTTTGGGGTCCACATGAGTCCCATCGTGGATTTGGGGACCACAGAAGTCCCATGGTGACACCCCCTGACCCCTTTGGTCACCCCTGTCCTCTCCAGGGTCTCCACCAAGACGCTGCCCGTGTACCTGAAGGACTCCATCACCACCTGGGAGGTCCTGGCCGTCAGCCTGTCCCCCTCCAAAGGTAATGAGGTCATGGAGGACCAGGGGGGGAACCCCAAAAACCTTTTGGGGGCGTCCTTGAGACCCGGAAGGGTCCCCTGAAACCTGGAGGGGTTCGCTGGGACGTGAGAGATTTCCAAAATCGGAAGGGGGAGATGCCCCAAAGCTTGGTGGCCACCCTCAGGATTGGAGGGGGTCTCCCGAAACTTTCGGGAGAATTCCATGGGATTCGAGGGATCTTGTGAACCTGGGAGAACTCTGGGGTCTTGATGGATCCCCTAAAACTTTGGGAGGATCCCATGGACCTTGAGAGATCCCCTAAACCTTTGGGAGGAGTCCATGGAACTCGAGGGATCTCCCAAATTTTGGGATTCCAGGATTCCTAAACCTTGAGAAGGCTCTGGGGTCTTGATCGATCCCCTAAACCTTTGGGAAGATCCCATGGAACACGAGGGATCTCCTAAATTTGGGGATTCAAGGATTCCTAAATTTGGGAGGAGACCCCACAGCTCTTGCTGGATCCCCAAAACCTTTGGGAAGACTCTGGGATCTTGATGGATCCCCTAAATCTTTGGGAGGAGTCCATGGAATTTGAGGGATCTCCCAAATTTTGGAATTTGAGGATTCCTAAACCTTGGGAAGGCTTTGGGGTCTTGATGGATCCCCTAAAATTTGTGGGGACTCCTTGGAGCTTGAGGAACCTCCCGAACCTTGGGAGGATCCCACAGCTCTCGCTGGATCCCCTAAATCTTTGGGATTCGAGGATTCCTGAACCTTGGGAAGGCTCTGGGGTCTTGATGGATCCCCTAAAACTTTGGGAGGATCCCACAGCTCTTCCCATCCCCGTGTCCCCAAGCCCGACCCCNGAACCTTGGGAAGGCTCTGGGGTCTTGATGGATCCCCTAAAACTTTGGGAGGATCCCACAGCTCTTCCCATCCCCGTGTCCCCAAGCCCGACCCCATGTCCCCAATCCCGACCTTGTGTCCCCATTCCCGTGTCCCCAACCCTGTCCCGGTGTCCCCAATCCCGACCCTGTGTCCCCATTCCCGTGTCCCCAACCCTGTCCCCGTGTCCCCAACCATATCCCTGTGTCCCTAAACCTTGTGTCCCCAATCCCGTGTCCCCAACCCTGTCCCCGTGTCCCCAACCCCGTGTCCCCAACCCTGTCCTCATGTCCCCAACCCTATCACGGTGTCCCCAACCCTGTCCTGGTGTCCCCAACCCTGTCCTGGTGTCCCCAATCCCATCCTGGTGTCCCCAACTCCGTCCCCATGTCCCCAACCCTGTCCCGGTGCCCCCAATCCCGTGTCCCAAATCCCGACCCCGTGTCCCCAATCTCATGTCCCTAACCCTGTCCTGGTGTCCCCAATCCTGACCCGGTGTCCCCAACCCTGTCCTCATGTCCCCAGTCCCATCCTGGTGTCCCCAACCCCGTGTCCCCAATCCCAACTGAGTGTTCCCAATCCCAATCTCGTGTCCCCAACCCTGTCCCGGTGTCCCCAACCCTGTCCTGGTGTCCCCAACCCCGTCCCGGTGTCCCCAACCCTGTCCCCGTGTCCCCAGTCCCGTGTCCCCAACCCTGTCCTCATGTCCCCAACCCTGCCCAGGTGTCCCCAACCCCGTGTCCCCAATCCCAACTGAGTGTCCCCAATCCCGACCCCGTGTCCCCAATCCCGTCTCCCCAACCCTGTCCTCATGTCCCCAGTCCCATCTCGGTGTCCCCAACCTCGTCCCGGTGTCCCCAACCCCATCCCAGTGTCCCCAACCCCGTGCCGGTGTCCCCAACCCCATCCCAGTGTCCCCAACCCCGTCCCGGTGTCCCCAACCCCATCCCAGTGTCCCCAACCCCGTCCCGGTGTCCCCAATCCCGTCCCAGTGTCCCCAGTCCCGTGTCCCCAACCCTGCCCAGGTGTCCCCAACCCCGTGTCCCCAATCCCAACTGAGTGTCCCCAATCCCGACCCCGTGTCCCCAACCCCATCCCGGTGTCCCCAACCCCGTCCCGGTGTCCCCCGTCCCATCCCGGTGTCCCCAACCCCATCCCAGTGTCCCCAACCCCATCCCGGTGTCCCCAGTCCCATCCCAGTGTCCCCAACCCCGTCCCGGTGTCCCCAACCCCATCCCGGTGTCCCCACCCCAGGTCTGTGCGTGGCTGACCCGTACGAGATCACGGTGATGAAGGAATTTTTCATCGACCTGCGGCTGCCCTACGCCGTGGTGAGGAACGAGCAGGTGGAGATCAGAGCCATCCTCTACAACTACTGGCTGCACGACATCACGGTGCGTTGGAAACACCTGCACTTCATTGCATTTTATTTTATTTTATTTTATTTTATTTTATTTTATTTTATTTTATTTTATTTTATTTTATTCTATTTTATTTTGTTTTGGATTGTATTTTAATTTTATTTTATTTTGTTTTTGTTGTTATTTCATTTTATGTTATTTCAGTTTATGTTATTTCAGTTTATGTTATTTCATTTTATGTTATTTCATTTTATGTTATTTCATTTTATGTTATTTCATTTTGTTTCACGTTATTTTGTGTCATGTTATTTTATTTTACTTTAAGTTTGTCTTATTTTATTTTATTTTTTTTTATTTTATTTCATGTCATTTTATTTTTATTTTATTTTATGTTGTTTGATGTTGTTTTGTTTTATGTTGTTTTATTTTAATTTTATTTTATTTTATTTTATTTTATGTTATTTTATTTTATGCTTATTTTAATTTTATTTTATTTATTTCATGTAGTTTCATTTTATTTTATTTTTTGTTATTTTTATTTTATTTTATTTTGTTTTGTTTTATTTTATTTTTTATTTTGTTTTTATTTTATTTCATGTTATTTTATTACATTTATTTTATTACATTTTGTTCCATTTCATTTCATTCCCCCCCAAAACCCCACAATTCCACCCCAAACTTCTTCATTTTTCACCTTAAAAAAACCCCAAATCTGACACCACCCCCTTAAAACCCTCCAAATTTTTCACCTGTCCCCCCCCTCACACCTGTCCTCCTCCCGCAGGTGAGGGTGGAGCTGCTCCACAACCCCGACCTGTGCAGCCCCTCCACGGCCAAGCAGCGTTTCCAGCAGGTTCTGCGCCTCAAGGCCGAGTCGTCGCGCTCCGTCTCCTTCGTCATCGTCCCCCTCAAGTTGGGCCTCTTGGACATCGAGGTCAAGGCCGCCGTCCGCAACCAGTACGTGGGCGACGGCGTCAAGAAGAAGCTCAGGGTGGTGGTGAGTGACCGGGCGCGCGGTGACGGCGCGGTGACGGCGCGGTGTTCTTGTTTCGGGGTGACGGCGCAGTGATGGCGTGGTGACGGCGCGGTGTTCTTGTTTTGGGGTGATGGCGCGCGGTGTTCTCGTTTCGGGGTGACGGCGCACGGTGTTCTTGTTTCGCGGTGACGGCGTGGTGACAGCGCGGTGTTCTTGTTTTGGGGTGACGGTGCGCAGTGTTCTTGTTTTGGGGTGACGGCACGCAGAGTTCTTGTTTCGGGGTGACGGCGCGGTGTTCTTGTTTCGGGGTGACAGCGCGGTGACAGCGCAGTGTTCTTGTTTCGGGGTGACGGCGCGGTGTTCTTGTCTCGCAGTGACGGCGCGGTGTTCTTGTTTCGGGGTGACAGCGCGGTGACAGCGCAGTGTTCTTGTTTCGGGGTGACAGCGCGGTGTTCTTGTTTCGGGGTGACAGCGCGGTGTTCTTGTTTCGGGGTGATGGTGCGCGGTGACAGCGCAGTGTTCTTGTTTCGGGGTGATGGCGCGGTGACGGCGCACAGTGTTCTTGTTTTGGGGTGACGGCACGCATTGACAGCGCCATGTTCTTGTTTCGGGGTGATGGTGCGCGGTGATGGTGCGTGGTGTTCTTGTTTCGCGGTGACGGCGCGGTGACAGCACGGTGTTCTCGTTTCGGGGTGACGGCAGGTGGAGTTCTTGTTTCGGGGTGATGGCGCGGTGTTCTTGTCTCGCAGTGACGGCGCGGTGTTCTTCTTTTGGGGTGACAGCATGTGGTGACAGCACGCGGTGACAGCGCAGTGTTCTCATTTTGGGGTGATGGCGCACGGTGACAGCGTGCGGTGTTCTTATTTTGGGGTGACGGCGCAGTGACGGCGTGGTGTTCTTGTCTCGGGGTGACAACGCGGTGTTCTTGTTTTGGGGTGACAGCGCGCGGTGACGGTGCGGTGTTCTTGTTTTGGGGTGACGATGCGGTGTTCTTGTTTTGGGGTGACGGTGCGGTGTTCTTGTTTCGGGGTGACGGTGCGGTGTTCTTGTTTCGGGGTGACGGTGCGGTGATAGCGTGGTGTTGTTTCGGGGTGACGGCGCGCGGTGATGGCGCGCGGTGTTCTCGTTTCGGGATGACGGCGCGGTGACAGCGTGGTGTTCTCGTTTCGGGGTGACGGCGCGCGGTGTTCTCGTTTCGGGGTGACGGCGCGCGGTGTTCTTGTTTTGGGGTGACAGCGCGGTGTTCTTGTTTCGGAGTGACGGCACGCAGTGTTCTTGTTTTGGGGTGACGACGCGGTGTTCTCGTTTCGGGATGACGGCGCGGTGACAGCGCAGTGTTCTTGTTTTGGGGTGACGGCGCGGTGACAGCGCAGTGTTCTCGTTTCGGGGTGACGGCGCGGTGACAGCGCGCGTTGTTCTTGTTTTGGGGTGGTGGCGCACGGTGACAGCGCGCGTTGTTCTTGTTTTGGGGTGACGGCGCGGTGACAGCGCGCGTTGTTCTTGTTTTGGGGTGAC